CGTCATCACCCTCACCCTGGACTTTGGGCTCTACCAGGTGGGTTCTGCTCGAGACCCTGGCACCAGGACGGGGGCTGTGGGGATGCTGGGCTGGGCCTCTGCACCTGCAGAGAGGGCTGGGGCAGGACTGAGGCCAGCTGCCCCATGTTCCTCCCCTTCTGCAGGACACGGTGGTTGTTGGAAATGAGCTGCATGGCCTGAAGGTGAAACACCTGCACGTGGGGGGAGTGCTGGGCTCTGGCGAGGTGCAGAACGGGCTGAGGGGCTGCATACAGGTGAGTCTATCGCTCTGAGCCTTCCCTTTCCTGTGGGTCTGTTACATGGAGGGGGGGAAGAACAGGCCTGCAGCTGCTGCCAGCCTCTGTCCTGCTGGTGACACTCTCCCTCTGAGCGTTCAAGGCTCCAAGGTGCTGTGGGGCAGCCAGAAATCAGCGCAGCAGGAGTGATGGGGGGTGGCTGCCCCTGAGGATTTGTGGAGGGCAGGAGGACTGGAGCATCGCATGTCTGTCCTGGCTTCACCATGAATTTGTCACTTGTGTTGCAGGGTGTGCGACTGGGTGACAGCGTCACCGAGACCGCGCTGCCCAAGCCCAGCCATGCACTGCGCGTCGAGGCTAAAAAAATCCAGCCCCTGCCCGGCCAACAGCGTCTGCAAGGATGAGTGGCAGAGCTACTCCTGCGTCTGCCAGCCAGGTAGAGCCTGCAGCACCCTGCCACCCCTTTGCCCTCCATGTCTGTCTGCCCCTCTCCCCTTTTGGCTCCCTCCTGGCCTGTGACTGGCCCAGAAATCCCTGCCAGACACTCATTATTTTTTGTGGGGAAGAAAATCCCTCCTTGAGCCCCCTGAATCCACCCGTTGGTGCTCTGGCCCCTCTCAGGGGGAAGGTGCTTGCTTTACAAGGTGCTCTCTATGCACACCCAGGGTACTACGGAGGGGACTGCGTGGATGCGTGTCACCTCAACCCCTGCAAGAACAAGTCCATGTGTCGCCGCAAGCCGGGCTCACCCCTGGGCTACGTGTGTGAATGCGGAGGGAACTTTTTCGGGCAGTACTGTGAGCACAGGTGAGATGTGGAGGGGCTCTGTGCTGGGCTCTGCATTGCTCTCTCATCCCAGCTGTGTCACCAGGGACCTCTCGGTGCCACTGGGCCCCTTGGAGCTGCTGAGCAGCTGGGCCGGTGGGAGGAGAAGGCCTGGGGGATTTGGCTGTTGTAACGGCAGCGATATTTCTCTCCCTAGGATGGACCAGCAGTGTCCGAAGGGCTGGTGGGGGAACCCGACCTGCGGGCCCTGTAACTGTGATGTGAACAAGGGCTTTGACCCTGACTGCAATAAAACCAATGGGCAGTGCCACTGCAAGGTGAGGGGCATCTGTCCCCGTGGGGACATGGCCCGTGGATTTCCCGGAGCCCTCCTTGTCCTTGATGCTGTTCCTTGTCCCCTCCAAAGGCCTGGCAGCTGCCCAGACCCTGCTTTCTGTGCCCGATTCTGGGCTGGATCCTGGCTCAGCTCCTCTGTGCAGCCCTCCTGCCCCAGCACCGTGACCGTGGGGGCCATGGGGGTGCTTGCAAACCGGGGGAGCCTGGCCCTTCCCTGC